ACAACAAAATTTATTGAAAGACATATATATTAATCTGATGAAGTTGTAGGACGTGTTCTTCGTTTACGTTTAGTAATACGTGATTTATTATCGAATTGTACACGAGAAAAAGGTTTTTTATTAAATTTTTTTCTTATTGTTTTTCCTAAAGTTGTGGCATGTTTAGGTTCAATATCATCGTCATTTATAGTTATTTTTTCCTTTTCATCATCATCATTATCATCTGGATCTATTTCACCATCTTCTAAATTATTTTTATCTTCTTTAAGACCATATTTTATCATTAATGGTTCAATGCGTTTATTATAATTTTGAAAAGATAATCTTGTATAATTACGATCATGAATTGAGAATATACTATTGCGATAGATTATTGATGGATGGTTGGTATTTATTGATGGGATTTGTGAGGATGAAGTGATTTCATTTTTAATAATACGCCAACAACCTGGATGATCAGGTGTTGTGATTATCGGATTTGATGGAGGAAGAGAAGGAACTGTTTCAGATGTTGTTGATGGTTTTTTAGAAGATTTATTTCGAGATTTCGAAGTTCTTTGCATGAACTTCATGTTACGAAGCGTGTTCGATAGATCGGACATCATTAGAAAAGATAACAAGACGAAATAAAAATTATTTTACAAAATTTATTTTTGTACGAAATCAATTCTTGCGTCTGTTATGTTATTTGTTTATTCACTGGAAAGGACAAAATTCAAATATATGGATTATATGAAATTGTTGACAACAAATGAATTTATGTTGATTTTGCCTTTTTCCGGATTTTTATTTTCCGGATGTCTTGACAACACCTAGAAATTGATACTATTAACAACAAAAACGAACTCTGTGTGTACTGAAACGCGGAAAATTAATGCATCATTAGTCAGGGAACATTTTTGAAATTGGCAGAAAAAGAAATATTTTAGTTCAGACAACAAAAAAGTTCATTTACTAATAAAAACTGATTTTCTATGTATCTCACATATACTGTTCTTACTAAGGGCATTTACTGTAGAGAGTATGTTGACATAGTCATTATCCAAAAATCATTATTTTGTCAGGTAAAAGGGCGAAGAACGAGCAAAAACAAACAAACATTTGTAATTTTTTTTGTTAGGTCATTAGTAACGTATGTATGGTTTTTTTTCATCCGTATCTCTCTCCCCTAATTCCTCACATTTATTGCTTTTTTGCATATCTTCCACTATTTTATTTTTCTCCTTTTTTGCATCTGTTCCCTAATTTTATCTTCACTCTTATTTTGTCTCTCCCTTTGGTTCTCATATCTTCCCTTACTGTACCACTGACTTATTTCGTATCCATCTCCTTTAGTTTCATATGTGTCCCATACGATTTTGTTTTTGTACTCTCCTTATTTCGTGTCTAGCCCCCCTATTTCTATCTCTCTCTCTCTCATATTATTTTGCCAATCCCTCTCTTTATTTTGCCTATCCCTCCCTTTATTTTTGTGTCTCTCTCCTTTATTTTTATCTCTCTCTTTTTCGTCGCATCTTCTAGGTATAAATACTCGTGCAAATTATTACTAGTATTAAGCAAACATTCCAATTTATAATTTACATACTCTTCAAAGTAAGCTATTTGTTATTATTTAGTTTTGTGATTATTCTTGGTTTTGTTATATTGGCTAGAATATGCATTCAGCAATATTTGTTTGCATTGGCTTGATCCTACTTGGTTCAGTATCGATTAGTCAATGCCGTCGTACTTACAAGGAAGAGAGCGATGGAATGGTTTTGGGTGAACGAGACTTTGATCAAGTTGCTCGTCGAGAACACCGCTACGATGATGAAGCACTGTTTCAACTCATGGGCTTTCAAAGACGTAAGTGGAATTCTAGACAAACTAATTAGTAACATGTATTATGCTGGAGTCGAGCATCCAGTTCGAAGGTCAAAAACAGTTGAATATGAGCTAAAATATTAATCTCTTCTTAAACTAATTCTCCTAGAATTTCAAAAGTTGTCTTTAGGTGAAATTATGCGAGGATTCTTGGCAGTTGACTATGTTATTTCGTTGGTTTTGACAATTCAATTGTGTCACTATTCAAAAAAATGTTGATTAAAAGCATGTGTATTTTTAACATGCACAATCTATCCTAAATGCATGTTAACCTCTGCAAAAATAACGATGAAAATAGGGTCGTTGAAAGGATTCGTTGTTTAAAGAGCGGTAAAATCTTGATTTATCGAAACTTAAAGCTTTAAATAATCAAACTCTACGCTCTAATGTGAGACTTTTGTGACAATCAAAATGCCACTTGAATCATTTTCATACTCTACTGCCAGTATATACCTCTCCGATTTTTGTGTATTTGTATATATTTAGGTACTTTGGACAAAAAACCTTGCCAAGAAATATTAAAGGATACGCATATCTCTGCAGGTAACAACGACGCTCAAAAAACATTCTCAACAGTGACCGAATGTGCCACATACTGTGATAGTTTACCAAATTGTATGTCGTTTGATTATTATCCAATGACGGGTCCATCCAACCCTGGACAGTGCAATCCTAAAAGTGCTACACGAAGTTCTGCTGCTCCAATTGCTGGAATGTTAGCTGTCGTTTGTGATAGTCAACAAAGTAAATACGAACAAACGAAGAATTTCTCTTTTTCTAACCATTGTCAAATTAACTATTTCTTTCTCAAATAAGCAACTAATCGATTAACTCTTAGAATAATAATAACCAATCGACTTTGTCTGTTTTTGCTTTTAGAGATAGCAACATCGTTCAGATGCGGTTATGAGGGTTATTGTTGGCGAGGATGTGCTTTAGGTACCAACACAGATCTTAGCGGTGGGTTTGGCACAGGCAACTGGTGTTATGCATACAACAAAAATATGACTGAGACATGCAAAACCGACAACGATTGTAGTGGTGTAACTCCATGCATGTTACCATGTCGTCCGATCCGGATAGCGTAAATTAACCATCACTTAATATGAACTATATTTTTTGACAATATTAGCTAGCTTGTTCATCCTTTATTTAATTAGGGCTTTAGTCTTCATCTTATCAGTATTTTTACTTTTTTACTTTATCATTTTTTGCTTCTTCTCTCATAATCTTTTTTCATTTCATAAAATATTTTTAACCTAATAAATTCTACATCCGAAAGAAAATTAGATTGAAATTTAGAGTATCACTGCGACTTCAGAATAAAATAATGAACGGCAACGATATGCTTTGATGATACAGTTAGAGTTATTGAAAGTCAGTCAAGCAAATGATGATGCATTTCTCGAGTGAGTAATAATGTTATATGTTCACTTGTAGCTTGTGCAAGCCAATATCGACGAGCAGCAACAGTAAATAAACGAACAAATGAATTCGATGCACCTAAATAATAACCTGATCGATGAAGCATTCGATTTTCGACAAGTAATCGAATATAATCAAAATAAAACTCTTCGTGTGCATCACTCTTGTTCGCCATAGTTGTAAATGATACATTAGATGACGTGTAAGATTTAGATTCTATTTTTTTTTTCTTCTATTTCTTTTCTTTTATTTACGCCAAAAACAAAAAAACGTAACAATGAGTCAACAACGACACAAAAACTGAAAAAATTTCTTTTTTTTT